TTAAGTGATTTGCCCAGAGTCACATAGCTAATAAGTGTCTCAGGTCACATTTGAACTCAGGCCTTCCTGACCCCAGGCCTTGCACTCCATCCACGCACCACCTAGCTGCCCTCTCTATACCTAGTTGTTTCCTATTTTAATTTAATATTCTTACTAATTAGACGCTAAGCTCTTTTTTTCCTCTATGCTACTAAAGAACTTCAAGTTCTATCATTACCCTCTAAATCTGGTGCCCCAAGGCAAAGACTTTGTCACCATCACCTTGGTTTAGTTGTCTTTTGCTTCCAATGTACCTCAGAAATCCATTCAGGTTCATTTTTATTTTCTCCCCTCGAAATATGCAATCTCATCTCTTGGACATATTCATTTATTTATAAAACATTTATAAAAACAAGTTCCTATTATTGAATCTATCCATAAAATGACCTCTGTGTCAACTGATCCAATTTTCTGACTGCAGAGAGGTCCCAAGTACTACTTATCTTTAATAAGGATAGAAGATAGGCTTGTGATTTTATCGGTATAGGGAATTCTTGGAAGAAGAAACTCCTTTTACAAATTTAAGTTTGAACCCTTTTGTAACTTAAAATCTTAGAGATTATATCTTTGAGAGGCTAAATGACTCATCTGGTGTCACACAACCACTTTGTGTCAGAGGGAAGACTTGAACCCAGGTCTTCCTGTCCCTGAAGCTAGCTCTCTATCCACTACATATCCCTGTGTCTCTCATTGGTCTTTCTTTGATCCCAAGGAGGAAACTGCTCAACCTCTTATGCCTTCGTCTTCTAAAAATTTAAATCCATTCTAACTGCCAATGTGAAGACTCCTCTTGTTCTCTTTTCTTGCTTTCCCTACAGTAAAGGGACTGATTTTCTTTATTTTTTAAAACATATGTTTCTCATTGTTAGTGGAATTCTTTTTCCTTTCTCTTTGAGCCATTGATTCCTGTCTTTTCTTAAACCACCTTTTAAAAACTTAAAACCTTCCTTTTGGGCCTTGAGTGAATGGCCTTTGAAATAGTTTTCTAACTCTCTGTATAGTTGAAAAAGATTTTTATTCTATTAAAATGGCTTGCTATTCTTTTATGGCACCTTTGAAAAAGTTATTTTGCTTAGAATGCTACATGTCTAAGCACTTATGTACCTAAGGCTTGGATTTTCTTTACTTGCTCTTTTCTAAAGTGAATGTGGAAGCCTGAAGACTATCAACGCTGGCCTCTGGTTTGGAAGTATATAATGCTCTCCAAGTATTTCTCTGATACCCAAACCATTTTAAATTTTCATTATCTGTTAAGAATATTTTGAAGAGCAGATGATTTTGTCTGTGTGTTTCCACCCTCTACTGATGCTGATCATAACCTCTCCACAACTTATTAGATCATCTATTAGAATTGCTGTGGCCAAAACTTTTGTAACCCTACATGCAATCCGATGTTGAACATCTCTGAATTTAGCTAGTCTGATCCTCAAATGGCAGACACATAGTAACTTACAGGGCAGAGATTCTTAATCTTCCTTTTTCTCATGGATCCCTTGGCATTCTGGTAAATCCTATAGATTCCTCCTTTTTGAAAGCATACAATAAAATCACAGAATTACAAAAGAAATCAATTACACTGAAAGGCAGTTATCACAATATTTTTAGAAAACCAATTTGATGAAACCCCAGAAAACTACCCATGGGCAGTCCAATGTACTGGTGAACCTGTGTTCCTCAGATTCAGAAGACCCATTCTATGCTAAATGGTGAAATGAATGTGATGTTTAGGCTTAAATTTTTAAGCTGTCATTTTATTTCTATTGATAGACAATGGTCAATACCTTTATCCATTTTATTCACTTCAGTATTACTTTTTTTTTTTAACTAGAAAAGACTTGATCAGAAGATGTAATATTTTTGTTAAAAGAAATAAAACTAACTTATTCTGCTGGCTACTACCTACGATATGACACAGGGTGGGAAAGGGGTCCAGAACAAGATCATCACCCCTATCATTAAGAACAAACATTAATTGAACTAATCATGAATGACTGGCTTTTTTACTGGCTTCTGTGGGGATTACAGTGTTTAGCACAGTGTTTGCTGCTGTGGAGAAGCTTGCAATTTAGCATGAAAGAGAATTTTGTCTTTTCCACCATGAAGAAAAATGTACATTTCCACCATACCTAGTTTATAACTTTAATGGATCTCCACTTTACTCGGTAGGAGTATGTGCTCTTTTGGGTGTGACTCATAACCCATCCAGGCATTCTCATCCTGCATGATCTTTGTGCTTTCTAAAGAGAATCTAGCCAACACAACAGAGGCTTCTTCTACTTTATGGGATCATAGATCTATAGCTGAAAAGGGATTGTATAGGCCATTTAATCCAAGCCCCCAATTTTTCTAAATGAGAGTGGTTACATAACTGGCCCAAGGTGTCTCACACACACAGTAAACACAGGAAGGAGGATTTTAATATCTTCCTCTTTAGTAGAGTGGGCAAATATGGTTTAATTCCCTGGGGGAGAGCCTGTTTTCTTTAGGTATCAGGAAAGCAGTGGGCATGGAATCCAGAAAAATCTGAGTTCAAATCATACCTCATTCATTTATTAGCTGTATAACCATGAGTAATTTACTTAACTAATTTTAGTCTCAGTTTCCTCATATTAAAATGACGAGTTGGACCCTATGGCCTTTAAGGTGACTTCTAATTCCTGATCTATGATACTATGAAACTGGGTGTTCCCATCCCAGTTCTCTTCCCATCACTTCTTGATGTCAGTATTTTGTGAATATAACCTTTTTAGACACTCACATGTTCTAACCCGTCCCATTGCTTTTTGCATTTCCCACAATTGTATTTCTTCTGAGACTTTGCTGTATGATTCATAGAATCACTAAGAGAATATTGGACTTGAAAGCATTGACTTCTGTGGCAGTGAGAAGCTTGGGATTACTAAAATTACTGTGCATTGTCCCAAAAGCAATTTAGCCTAATCCTCCTCCTCTTTAACTGTGAACCCAGCTCATTGTCCATGTGCAATGTCTGTCTAAGACATATGTATTGATGGACTAATGCAATTAGCTACCTATCCAACTATGTGCCAATATCTTGATAATATGTATTTCTTATCTCATATCCACCAATACAAAACTAAAATATAGGTGGTAAGGCAGCAGCTAGTCTTTGGCATTAATGTAGAAAGGGAAGGTAAATAAAATTTCTGAGATTATACAACTGCCTGGTTCTGAGTATTAGGTGCAAATGGAAGGTGGCCATAGAAGACATTTCCTGAGCAACAGGGATACCTTTTGCTTTCTATCAGCTACTTCTGTCTTTTCAGGTTAAGGTTCTTATATTCTTCGACATGATCATGTGATTATGAAAACATCCTACAGATTGGCATATTTTATCATCCTAATGATTGATTTCCATTCTGTTGTTACTAGGAGAAGACTTGTTAGAGCTAAGATAGCAAAATAAGGCTTAGTGGGCTTGATTCTCCCCCTTTGACTTAGTAATGTTGGTGCCTCCAACACTTGGAAGTGAGAAGGGGAAAAGGACTTTCCCTAGTTGGAAAGAAGGAAGAATATTCCCAGAGAACCAATGGGGTGCTGGTATTTGTTTAACAAGTATATATGACACACTTTTAATTTAAATCTATGTTCTTAATGTTTTCCCCATCACTTCCTGCAGTCTAGACTATCAACTGAACAATAAATTGAGCCCTGATTTGTAGCATTTGCCAATTTCTCAGGAGAAATGCTCGCACCAGAAACTTAACAATCAGCTGATTAAGTCAATATGAGCTGCTTCTAGCACACCCCTGCGAAGAATTGTCATCAGAAACTGCATTCCAGAGACTTCTGGGGGAAAGAGATAACCACTGCTATCTGTTGGAGATGAGCAGAAGCTAGCCCTCTAATTTTCAATCATAGCAACCTAGTTCCTGAATGGAAGGATATTAACTATGTCACTGCAGATTTCTTACTAACCTTCCCTATTAGCTCTCAAAGGCCAAATGGTATTCTCTGATGTGTGTGTTTGTATCTATGTGTATAAAGTACTTGGCAAAGCTGTATGAATGCCAGATACTCCTACTATTACACATTCGACAGTGTTTGTGTGTGTTACATGATAATTAAATGGTACTTCATAGCAAATAATGCTGATTCTAGATACAAGAAGATTAACAAACTGATAAAAGAAAAACCAAATTTTTTATTTGGTCATATAAAAATAACACTAATCCAAAGAGTGTTGGACCTAGAGTCAAGAAGGCCTGGATTCAAATCTTGACATAGATATATCCTAGTTATGTGACTTTAGGCATTTAACATAAGGGACATCAGCTTCTTCTTCTATAAAATCAGTGAGTTGGACTCAATGACCTCAAGGTTCCTTCATGCTCTAAATCTGTGGTTCTATGTTCCTAGGATCTTGATTAAGTCTTTTTATGTAAACTTTCTTTTTTATTTATTTATAATTACCAAGAAGTACAATAACCAATGTGTTTCATTAACTATATGTTGATTTTAACTTTGTTATAAATTTTGATTACAATAGGATATTCTACCTCTATATGTTCAACATTAAAATTGGTTGTTCGTTTATGGTTCTTTGATGCCAAATTAAAAATAAAAATGGGAACACTGCTTCCAACATCCCTACAAAACATGAGTGTTTTGGAGTGTCATTTTAGATATTGGAAGGCCTATTTTTTAAAGTTGCTTAAAAATCTAGACAATAAGCTTCTTGAGGAGACTATTGCCTTCTACCTACAAAATCAATCCTATAGTGTGGAGGCTAGTGCCATATGGCAACATTGGTGAAGTGGAAAAGCACTGGGCTGTAGACAGAGCAAAAGATGGAGGTTCTAATTCCAGGACCTAGTCCTCAAATCAGTCCCAATAAATTAAGATGTAGCATTGAGCAAATTATATGATCTCTATGGGCTTTAATTTGTCTGTTGGCAAAATCAGGGGATTTAACTAGATGTTCTCTGCCTTCCTTTTAGCTGCAAAATGCTATAAATCTGAACACCCTAAAATCACCCTGGGCAAGTTCTTTCATGCTAAAGTTTTTAATACCATGGGCAAGTCATTGAACCTTAATTTTTTCATCTGTGAATCAAGAAGTTTGGACTGGATGTCTTCTGAAGTTCCTTCTGCCTCTAGGTCTATGATCCCATAATCCTAAATCCCATCTCAAAGGTATGAAATAATAATAATAATAATAATAATAATATTAATTAGCATTTCTATGTGACAAATGCTGTGCTAAGCACTTTAAAAATATTTCTTTTGATGCTCAGAACAACCCTGGGAGGTAAATGCTATTGTTATCCCTATTTTATAGTTGAGGAAAAAGGCAAATAGAGGTTAAGTTTCTTGCCCAGAATTATAAGCTGATAAGTGTCTGAGGTTGGATTTGAACTCAAGTCATCCTGACTACAGGCCTAGTAATCTATCCTCTGAGTCACATAGCTACCCTACTGGTACCCTACTGGTATATCATGACATTTATATCACTATGCCTATGGAGCTAATTCTCCCCCCCCCATCCCAATTGTCTTACTTAATATCATATTTTCCTGTAAGCCTATGCAGGATTTAGTGAATATTTGGCAAAAGAAGAAATTAACAAATGAACCAATGAATGTTAGGCAGACTATGCTTATATTGTACTTGATCAATGTAGAGAGTAGAGATAAGAAAAAAAATAACTTTCTAATTCAATGTTCCAATGATAATCTTTAGGATAATTACTCTGTTCTCTATATTAAACTCATTTGTTCCTTTATAAATGAGTCAATGGCACTTCCCAAACTACTGTGTCCTTGTTTGTTACAGCCCTTGTCACTCAGCTGCTAGTGCTTCTCCATGCTGAGTGAGCTGCTGGACAGTGGGGCTGGTCACTGGAGTAGGCAGTGGCCCAGGAAAGAGGTAATGGTAAGCTTGCCTATTCCTTTGGTTGGCAGCTCCAAGAGGTCACACATGCAGCCAAAAGTTGAACTGAGCAGGGGACCACAGTGGAATCCCATCTCTTTGATCCTTTTGGGGAAATATCTTCCTGTGTCTGATGTATAACCCAGATTTAGCTTAACCCCTACCCTTTCAAGTGTTGCTTGCTGCCTTGTGAACAGACTCTCTCCCGCCTGAATAGTTCATTTTTATAAAGCATTTTGGAGTGTACAAGGTGCTTTCTGTGAAACAGTCTTTTTGGGTAATACAAATGGAGGCAACATAATTTAGTAGAATGAGAACATCTTCTAGGTTCCTATTGGTATGAATAATGAATTCTCTTGAAGTGGCTGTATTATTCAAATTCATACTGCATATTTCCATTGGACTGGAACCAATAACATGTTTTACATAATTATAACTTTGAAAAGTGCTAATTTGAAAATATGTGACCACTTCAGGAGATTCATTGATTGCACTAATCAGGATCTTAGATCTGGTGTCTGAGGACTAGGATCAAAATCTACCTCTGCTTCTTTGGTCCTTTGGCATGTGACTTCCCCTCTTTGAAATTCATTCTTTCATCATTGAAATGAGGGGTCAGAATAATTCATTTCTGAATTTATAATCCTGTTATTAATTTTTATTTATAGATGAGGAAACTGAGGCTCTGATAAGAGAAGTTATTTTTATAGGGTTGCCCAGCTAGTAAACATTAGAGGCAGGTTTTGAATTCAGATCTTGTGAATTCAAGACTGGTTGTGTTATTCCCAATTTTCTTTTTATCTTTATCTCTATAGCAACTACCTCCCAGAGTTGTTGTGAAGATAAAAGGACATAATATTTGTATGTGCTTCTCAAACCTAAAAGTGTTATATAAGTAAATACTAGATATTATTATTAGCTTCCCTAAACAGTGAGTTGACATATGGTCAATTTCAATGACCTATGCCCAGCATATTGACAGTTCTCTTGAATCTGTTCCTCTGTGGTTGTTGCCGGACTCCTGCCTCTCGCCTAATATCCTTCCTCCCAACTTAGGCTGAGATTAACCATGGAGGAATGACAAGCAGATTTCTTGATAGCCAAAACAAATCAATAGAAATAACTTCTTTAATTTAATCTAACCAGGCTCAGATTCCCTGATAATGGAAATAAGGAAATCTATTTTCCCTTTTCGTGATATCATAGATTTATAGTTGGAAAGTATTTTAGAGGTCATCTAACTCAATCCCTTCATTTTAGAGATAAAAAACGTGAGGCCAAGGTCACAAAGGTAGTAAGTGGCAGAACTGCTGAGATTCAAACTCAAGTTCTTTACCCTAAATACAATGATTTTTCCCCACTACCCCTTTTCCCAACTGTCCCATTTTCATAGGATGTCCCATTTTCTCCAGGGTTTTGTAATTTCTTTGGTGAGAGTATTTTCTTTGGGGATTCAGATTGCAACCTCTATGTGATTTACAAGGTGACCATCCAGAATTACTATATCCCCACAATTTCCTGATTGTGAAGCTTGCCTGGTCCTGAAATGATTGGCCTGCAACCTTTCCCTGGCCAGTCCTCAAAGCTTGTCCATGTCCACAGAACCATTGGTACTTATTCTCCACCAGCATATCCTTCAGGAGCCCAGGATCATGCCCTTGCCAAAATGAGGCTTTGGAAGAGGACACTAATGAAGGTTTATCCAGGATGTTACACTTTTGAATCATTTTTGTTTTGGTTGATCCTTGGCCTCTATTTCCAGAGGAGCCCTATTCCCTTGATCGTTACCTGTTAATGTGGTACATAAATATATTGGTTTACAGTAGAAGGCACAATGCCACAGAAAAACAGCTAGGCATGTGCATCTGTGGTCAGAAAAAATTATCTTCCCAAAATCCAAAGGGAGCTGGAACTCACCCATTTTCAGCTGGCTTTATGGTGGCATTTTAGTACCCATTGTAATTGACTAGTTGGAAACATAAAATAGATCATTTATTAGAACTGAAATATTGCTCACAGAATGTGAATAGGGAGTGGAATGTTTTCAATTTAATAAAATTAACATCTGTATGCTAAAAAAGAGGCACCATTTTTGTCAAGAAATTATTTTTTCCAGTCAGAAAATGCTGCCAAGTGCTTTAGCTTTACTATGCTCTCATTGATAATTCTCTTGAAGAATGAGCCACTATTGCAATGTTCCTATTGGAAATATAAACCTGAATGGACCCTTGGAGTAAAAACAGAGCCAAAACTGGAAGCCATTCACTTGTAATGAGTTAGCCATGCAGAGTAGCTTTATTTTGTTTGCATAGCTGAGAGAAGTGTTTGTGTTATTTTTTTTTAACAGGCTCTTCTAAAGTATATCTTGATAACTGTAAATTAGAATTAGTTGTTTCATATTAATTTACATTTTTGTTTTATTTTGCTCTAGAACTATAATCTCATTAGTGTTGGGATAATCCTAGTGTGAAAACTTTCTCTACCAATGGTTTTCCTTAACTGTCTATAACTTATAGGGTTATAGAATTGCTTGGGGGAAATGAGAGTTGAGGTGCCTTGCTCGGGACTCTAGGGTGTGCTGGAAATAGCTCGAACCAGCTCCTCTCCTTAGAAATTGACAGGGGCTTGATTTATCGCTTGGTTGATTATCTAGATTTAAGAAAGTGATAGAGAAAATGTTAATAATTCAGATTAAAATTAAAAGTGTTCCATATACATCTTTATTTCCCAGAGAGCTTGTGGTTAAGCCTTTCCCAACACAATTCTACCAGGGCTACATAGCCAATGACAAAGGCAGGACTTGAACCCAGTTCTTCCTGGTTCTAGGACTACTACTTTAACCACTACTTTGTGTTGCCTCTCTAATTTAGAATAAAGTATAATAATGTTTGAGGAGATTATTTTTCTTTAATTTAAACAATTTCATTGCAGCCATCATCAGCGACAACTCTTGAAAACTTTTTACAAAGAAATGATATGAAAATACAATGCAATAGACAACTATGTAAGTCAGGGAAGGGAGGTCTGGGTGGGGAGCTAGAGTGTGGGCTCTGAAAACACAGAGAGTCAAGAATAGACTTGGCAGCTGGAAAGATGGGGAGGTGGGAAGTGCACAGAAGGGAAAGTGGGAGGGCACCGAAGATAAATTTCACCTACTGCATAATTTTACCCATGGTCAATTCTCTCCGAGAGTTATAGCCTTTGTCAGCACTGTATGGTCGCCATGAATAAAGTATGTGGATAAAATGGTGAAGGTTCTAAGGCGTAGGAAACTGAAAGGTTAAAAAGCAAGACACCCAAGGAAAATGTAAAACAAAAGAGATCATTCAGTCTGTGGAGAGAAAAGAAAGCTGAGGTTTTTAAAAAGAAGAGTTGTTACAATCCAAGCACTGCTGTAAGTTATTTTCAGCCTACTTTGAAAAGGAGCAGGGCAACATTGAATGTAGTGTGAGTCATTTAAGTTAAACATGAAGATAGACTCCTAACTAGCCAACACTACAACTGGGCAAATCCACTGGAGAGGGAGTGTGTAACACAGACCATGTCCTCTCATGGAGAGGTGGGAGGAGGGAAAGTGGCATGATGGTGAAGGGGCATCCAGAAAGTTGGGATGTCTACGGTGACTCTGAAAACTAGACGTGGAGAATGAGGAGAGGAAAAATGCCCTTCCAGGAAAAATGCTCGTCAGATCTCTTCCCACTTTATGTGTCAGCGCCCTGGGGCAAAGTACTACTTGCCTCTGCATTAGGAAGAACTTCTAGAGAGCAATGTTATAAGTACATTGGACTGGAATCTTCTTTGAAAGTCTTTGAAGAGATGATAGAGCCTCATCTCTCCAGCATGGATAAGCATTATAATTCCTTAAGGGGAAGTATGGGGGGAGGAAGGGTGAACTAAATGACCTCTCAACGTCCTTTCCAGCCCTATTATTCTACGGTTCTGTAATTAATTAGTGAATAAGTGAACCAGCTAATTAATATTACAATTAAATCTGCCTGAGGTATGCTTATGGCATCCTTGGCAATTCTGAAAAAGTAATAAAAGTGTGTCCTAGCCCTTTCCTATTTTCTGTATTGAGGATTGGCCTTTGTACAATAGATAGGATATATTATGGGTAGAGTGATGTTGTCCTGCTGAGTTATCAAAGTATATCCTGCCCTGCGGCACCATCATTGGACAATTCTGTATATCACAGGACAGTGGGCAAAAGAAAATTAGCAATCAGATTCAGCAGCATGTTGAGAGATCAACTCCTTTGCTTTTGGCAAGAACTAATGATTTTTTTTTTTTGCAGGAGCTGCATAATGCTTTCTCTGGCCTTCCATTTCCCTGCACCCCCCACCCCCTATGAAATAAAAATAATTTACATTCATTTCTGCAAGATGTTCCATAGAATTTTTTTGGGGGGGAATGGGGAAAAAAGGACTAGGAATCATCTAAGAGCAGTAGCTTAGCACAAGTAAAGCAATTGGATTGCAATCCAGCACAGCACCCAGCACCATAGTACTAGACTTGCCCTGTTGTGCTGAATGTCCACAAATCATAAAACTTTTATTAGGAAAACAAACAGTGGAAATAACAAATTGATATCATAATGTAAGACCACTGTAATTACAACAAAGCTTCCTTCTAATAGTTTCTTTTCATATTGTTTCCTATTGACACATGAGGAGTTGTCTTTTTTTTATACAAAAAAAATACTCCCCAAATTAAAGCAAACACATTGATGTGATTGTCTATAAAAAAGACTGTTGAATCATAGATGTCATCATTGTCATTATCATCACAAACAAGCATTTATTTAGTGCTTACTATTTGCCAAGTGTTGCAGATGCAAAGAAAGACGCAAGATAGTACCTACCCTTGAGGAGCTCACAGTCTGCTAGGGAAGACAATATATAATCAACTATGTTGACACAAGATAGATAAAGTGTAAATAGGATGCAATAGCTAAGATGGGATTTAGGATTATGGGATCATAGACCTAGAGGCAGAAGGAACTTCAGAAGACATCCAGTCCAACCTTCTTGATTTACAGATAAGAAAATTAAGGTTCAATGACTTGCCCATGATGTTAAAAACTTTAACGTGAAAGAACCTGCCCAGGGTGATTTTAGGGTGTTCAGATTTATAGCATTTTGCAGCTAAAAGGAGGGCAAAGAACATCTAGTTAAATCCCCTGATTTTGCCAACAGACAAATTAAATCCCATAGAGGTCACATAATTTGCTCAATGCTACATCTTAATTTATTGGGATTGATTTGAAGACTAGATCCTGGAAGTAGAACCTCCATCTTTTTGCCCTGTCCACAGCCCAGTGCTTTTCCACTTCACCAATGCTGCCAAATGACACTAGCCTCCATACTATAAGGATCTGATTTTGTAGGTAGAAGGCAATAGTCTCCTCAAGAAGCGTGTTTGTCTAGATTTTTAAGCAGCTTTAAAAAAAATAGGCCTGCCAATATCTAAAATAACACTCCTAGACACCGTGTTTTGTAGGGATGTTGGAAGCAGTGTTCCCATTTTTATTTTTAATTTGGCATCAAAGAACCATAAATGAACAACCAATTATGTTATTGAATATATAGAGGCTGAATTTCCCATTATAACCAAATTCTACAACAAAAGTTACTAGGTCTTTCTATGTGAACTGCTCCATCTTTGTAGGTAGATGCAAATGATTTTTGAGCATAAACTTAAAGCTTTATGTTTATCCCTATTCAATTCTATCTAGGTTGCTGAGATTATTTTTAAAATTTTGTTATCTATAAGATCTGATAAGCTTGCCTTTTTTATATTCATTTAAGTCATTGATGAAAATGTTGAGAAGATAAGGTCCTAGTACTAAGCCTTATAGCATGCAACTGGAGACCTCCCTCTGTGTTGTTATCAGTATATTAGAGGGTTTTTTTAAATTCTTTTTTAGGCAATTAGGATTAAGTGATTTGCCCAGGGTCACATGGTTAGTAAGTGTCAAGTGTTTGGTCTGAGGCCGAATTTGAACTCAGGTCCTCCTGACTTCAGGGCCAGTGCTCTATCCACTGGGCCAGCTATTAGAACTTTCAAAGTATAGTTTTTCAACTAGATATAAATTCACCTACCTATATACTATATCTAGCCTAACCTGCATTTAAAAAAAAATCTCTTTTCTAAGATTTCGAGAGAGTTTGCTAAAATACAGGCACATTCTATTTTTAGCACTACCCTAACCTAGTAGTTTAATTAGCTTCATTAATGAAAGAGGTTTGGGATAATTTGTTCTTAGTGAATCTGTGCTGGTTCCTAATGATAGCCTCTTTTATAAGGGCTCACAAATCTATTTAATGATCATTCTACAATTTTGTTGTGGATCAATATCAAACTTACTAATCTATAATATCTATAACACATACCCCTCCCCCTCTTTTCAGGACATTTGCTTATCTCCTACCTTTTGGCATATTTCCTCTTCTCCATATCTCAGAGATTACCAAAAGTGGTTCTTCGATCACATCTGCCTGTAATTTTAGTGCCCTCAGATGTAATTAAATTTATCTGGTCCTAGATACAAACTACTTTAAATAACTAGTTGGCACAGTGGATAGAGAGTGGGACTTGGAATCTAGAAGACCTGAGTCTGAATCCTGCCTCAGACACTCCTTACTGGCTGAGTTACCCTGGTAAATTACTTCACATCTCTGTGTGTGCCTCAGTTTCCTCATCTGTAAAAGAGAAGGCAAGAGGCAGAAATGAGGAGAAAGAGAGTTCTAGACATAAGGAAAAGTGCTAAGCAGGAGAGGTAAAAAGATAAAAGTCAAATAGTGGTTGCCCTCAAGGAGCTAGTATTCTAAATATAATTTTACATAGCATTTCCCCCTACTCACTCTCATCTCCCAACCTTTATGGCATGGTAAGAAATGTAGAATCACAGACTCTCTGAGGAGGAAGGGACCTCAAAAACTAGATCAGGGATTGTTATCCTTTTTTTGTGTGTCACAGACCCATTTAGCAATCTGGTGAAACCTATAGACCCCTTCTCAGGGTAATGTTTTTAAATGAATAAAATAAAATTCATAAGATTCCAAAGGAAGCCAGTTGAAACAGATATCTATATCTAGCTATTTATCTAATTTTAAAGTTCACATTATCAAGATTAAGAACTTCTGTGTCTAGATCAACTCTTAACAAGTGGTTATCTAGTTTTTGCTTGTAGACTTCCAGTGATGGGAACTTATTACCTAATGAAGCCGCCAAACCACTTTTAGACAAGTAATTTTGAAGTTATATATATATATGTGTGTGTGTGTGTGTGTGTGTGTGTGTGTGTACACACATATACACACACACATACACACACACATATATAAAACATCTGAATCTGTCTCTGCAGTTTCTACCTAGTGCAATTATTTGTGGCTTCTGGGGCCAACCAAACAACATATTCCAACTCTTCAAATATGGCACTAGGCAACAGGAGGCCTCCATTTCATTTTTCCCTTTTACCACTTACCAGGTGATGCTTTTCAGCTAGTCACGTCACTTCTCTGAATTCCAGTTTCTTAACTTATGAAATGGAGATGATTACTTATCAGATGATAAGAGGCTGAACCAGTTACTCACCTGCTTCCCAATCCAGCTGTAATAGCTAGTATTCTCCAGAGTAAAACATAGAGAACTGCTCTCTTCTTTGCCATATGGGTAAGAGGTAGTAGATATCTTAAATCTCCATTTTGCCCAAGGCAAAACTGAAAGGTAGCTAAACTAAAAACGTGCGTGAAGCCAGGCCACACAAGTCAAGAGCAGAGTTAACATATGCATGCCAAGTCTCACCGAGTATATGCTGCCAAGGCATTTCTTTGTCCTCCTCTGTCAAGCATGTAGGTGAATGTTACCAGTTCTGCTTCCCAAGAGAGAGGTTCTGTACCCACACGACACCTTAGCAGAATTCCCTTGCCACTGAGTTACGGAGAAGGATTGGCTCAGGGTTTGGAAAAGATAAACTAAGTCCATTGATGGAACACACACCATCATAGTCACCAGTGAAAAGAGGCAGACTGAAAACATAATGAAACAATGGGCCAATGTGTCACAGACTCCTATTCACACCAAATGAACTTCAGGTTTGACTTTGAATAATTAAAGCACAGATGTTCCCAGCTTTTTGGTTTCTTTTAGGATAAAGGTTTCTCTCCTTGTACTTAAGCACAAAGTTTTTGCAGTGAGAGTATGTGAAGTTCATATGTGGGCTGCTTTTGTTTGTTTTCTCTTGTGATATAGTACAAAGAGACAACGACCCAGAGTCAGAGACCTGGGTCAGAATCCTAAGCCCTACCCCTTACTGGCTATTTGATTTTGAGCAAATCATTTGACTCATCTGAACTTTAGTTACTTCCTCTATAAAATGTAGTTTAATAATAAGTGCACTACCTTCCCCAGTTATATTGTGCAACTTTTTCAAAATCTTAAAGCATTGTCAACAAATTAATAAGCATTAATTACATAAACACTTGCTATCTGTCAGACAGCTAAGTGGCTCAATGGATAGAGTGCTGGAAGACTGCTTTTTCCTGAGTTCAAATCTGGCCTCAGACACTTACTAGCTATGTGACTCTGGGCTTAACTTAATCCTTTTTGCCTCAGTTTCTTCATCTGGAAAATGAACTGGAGAAGGAAATAGCAAACCACTCCAGTGTCTTCGCCAAGAAAACTTCAAATGTGGTCACAGAGTCAAATATGGTTGAAAGGACTGAACAACACAAAAATATGTCAGGTATTGTGCTAGTCACTGGAGATACAGACAGAAAAGTGAAACAGTCCCAGCTCTCAAGGTCTTTACATCAAAATGAGATATTTTTATTTCTTTTTGGTTTTAGGAGAGGAATGGCAGGGCTCCATGTCTTCTGCCTACACTTAAAACAAAAACATCACTAATAGCTAGAATTGTCTAAATAATTTTTGATTTTTGATATATCATTGGAAATCATTTGGACCCAGTCAAAAAAAAGCTTCTACATCCATTATTGGAACATTATGGCATACTGGTGTTAAAACTAGAAAGGACTTTAGGTATAGTGTAGTCTAAGCCTCCTCAATTCTTGAAATTTTTGTTGGTCTTTGTTTTTTACAGCATAGTCCTGTCCCTAAATACAGAGCAACCATCCTGCCCCCAGCACTGATCACCATTATAACAAAGAAAAACAGTCAGGTGAAACCAACAAAATAATTGAATCTTCTACACCCTTCAGTTCCCATCTCTTTACAAAGAAAGAGGTGTTTTTCATTATTTGTTCTCTGGGACCAAGACTGGTCACTCCAATTTATCTGGGTTGTTATCTTTTACTATTGTTTTCAATTACATTATTGTAACGGTTTTGTGTATCTTTTCTTTTAGCTATGC